AGCAGTAGGCCCTGCTGCTTAGAAGTCTTCATCAGATGTGCCTTGAGTCCAATTCTGAAGGCTGTCAACACCTTGTTGGTTTTTTTGTTGCCAGTTGGTTTTTGGTTACACTACTCTTGAGGGTTAGGGGGGATGTTTTTAACGGCTGTATGTTAATTCAAAAGGTTAAATCCTTTTTCTTTTCTCTCCATCTGATATTCTCCTGCAGGTTCTTGGCCGGAAGGATTTAGAATAATGAGAAGGTTGCGTTCATCAAGGGGGGATGTCAGCACTGCCTTCCTGGGACTGGAGGACTAAAAAGGAGAAAGGACAAGAATTATATATAGGCTGCTTTTGACTACTGACATAATCAGCTGTACCCTGGTGGTGGTGGAAGAATAGGACAGTCTCTACTGCTTGGTTCTGTGGTATCACCACAGTGGGGTCACCATGAATGTGACAAGTTTATTCTCTTTCACCAGCCCAGCTGTGAAGAGGCTCTTGGGATGGAAGCAGGGGGACGAAGAAGAAAAGTGGGCAGAGAAAGCTGTTGATGCATTAGTGAAAAAACTGAAGAAGAAAAAAGGTGCTATGGAGGAGCTGGAAAAAGCATTAAGCTGTCCTGGTCAGCCCAGCAACTGTGTCACAATTCCTCGTTCCTTGGACGGCAGGCTTCAAGTTTCACACCGGAAAGGGCTACCGCATGTAATTTACTGCAGAGTGTGGCGCTGGCCGGACCTGCAGAGCCATCACGAACTGAAACCACTGGAATGCTGCGAGTTTCCCTTTGGTTCAAAACAGAAGGAGGTTTGCATCAATCCCTACCACTACAAGCGGGTGGAGAGTCCTGGTAGGTTCTTCCTTGTTTGTACCTTTACACCTTATCTGAACAATGCAAAGTATGGCAATTAATCATGTGACTCGTCAGCTTAAATAAGCAAAAGTGGCTGTTTGCACATGTCAGATTCTTCCTCTGCAATTTATCTGGATGTAGGCATTAATTAGCAGCTCTCCCTTTCGCATAGTGAATGCTTCACTTGTGTAAATGTTTTATCACTATAGAGAGGCACAGTCTTAGTATATGCCTTAAGCTGCTGGGCCTGGTATCACCTGGTTTTTTTTGGTGACCACTATCCCTCAATTCCTTTGTTTTTACTGAATCGTGCAGATCAGTGAATCTGCATGAAACATTGCAAGCTAACTTAAAGGATTGTTGCAGTCTGTGCGTGAAAAGCGTTCTGACATACTGTGGTAATGGTGGTATTATTATTAGTTCCAAATTATTATTTCACTTCTGTCGCTTTCGTTTCTTCATCCCCCGGAAGATAATGCTGTCTTTAGGATATCCCACAATTTTGGCCTTTCAAAAGACTGAGATTTTAGGCAGCAGAGTGTATTCCCCGCAACTTAAAGCTTTGATAGCAGCGTTTGGTTGTACATGAAGTTTTACTGTCAGCTGTTCTGCAAGCACAGTTGCTTACCTGTAACCCACTTCAACACTTCTTTTTTTAAGGTGCAACCCATTCTGTCTGTCTCCTCTTCAAAGGCCAAACCTCTTTTTGATAAATCTGTGCTTAATTTTACTCACACAAATTTATTATCAGGGAATACTTCTGGGGACTAAGGTGAAATGTGCTTGCACGTATCTACACTAGTCTCCAGCTGCTTGTGAGGCTGAACAGGGACATCTGCAGAAATGCACTGCAGGCGTGGGTGGACTTCCCTGGTTTAGGTTTGGGAAGTCCATCTGTGTTAGGCATTTCATGAACTATGAAGCTGTCCCTGCAGGGTGGTATGGACACCTTAAGAACTACAGTGGAAATACGATTGTTTCAAGCTTGTTTTTCTGTAGATGGAAGTTGCATTTGTTTTGGATCTGCAATGCATGGTGCATATCTAGTTGTTAAATATTTCCTTTTGGTGTGTTAATACTAGCTTGGAAGTCATGTGAATGGCAGATGTAATACCCATAAGGTATGTATTTATGCAGCTGAAGCTTGAACAAAGGAACTCTGCACTGAAATAACAGTTCTTAAAAAAATTTATTTTTTTTTTTTTTAAAAAAAAGGTTAAAATTCTGAACAATTCCATGTTAAGCGGAATTGGGATAGTAAAATAGTCATGTCCTGGTGCTGCTAGCTATCTGCATATGTCTACACTAGTTGCTTGCATTCAGTGTTCCAAAATACGGAAAATTACGATTCTTTAAAGACATCTGTTTCTGTCAGGTTGAGCAATAGTTGGGCTTTTACTGTTGCTGTGATGTCAAATGACATGTTCTAACTCATTTTGCTTTAATCTTGGAAAGAGTTACTGAGTTTGAGAATGTCCTCATTTGGACTGTTTATATCATATTTAAAAATAGGTATTTGTAAATGTCCTGTCAGTTCAGTGAGATATGCAAGATAAAAATAGAGTAAAACTTTCAAAAGGTGTCTAACTAAAATGTACATTTTAGCTGAATGCTGCCAAGTATTTCAAATGGTTGGAATGCTGGAGTTTGGGTGTTAAGTCATCTTACAAATTTTGTATTTGGAAAACGGAGCAAAATGTTACTGACTGTAAGCCTGAATTCTGGATTGCTCTTTAATTGTTTTTGGATGAGATAAAAGTCTCTATAGTCATGTAGATACTGTTTGGTTGGGGTTTTTTTCCCCAGAAAAAATTCTGTAACTTAATGAAGTGGGAGATGGCAGAAATACAATGCTTCCTTTTTTGTCCAGAGAGTACCCTTCTTCAGGAAAAAACGAGATACTCTTGGTCAATTGCCTAATAAGCAACTGGGCATTTTTCTTGTCTGCATTAGGGTTGTAGTCAGATGGAGCCGACAGAAGTATTCGGTCTTTCACAAGCACAGTGTGCTGCTCTAACCACTTAAATTATTCTGGAGGTAGCTGCTGATCAGGAGCTAGCGTTCGCTTCTGCTGAGCTGCTCTGTTAAATCAGGGTCTGGAGGTGCAGTGTTATGTGGATGCTGAAGTTATGTCTCAAGCGTTTAACAGCTTGCCAAAGTGCCAGAGTAGAGTTGAAGCCCACTGTGGTTTTGCTGAGGTCTCTGGCTGGATATAAAGAGGAAGAGAATTTTTTATTTAGCCATGGATCTGCTGTTGTTTTGAGGGATATTGTTCGGAGATGAGTGGGAAAACGTGGCTTTTGGAAACAGGTGGTAGCTGAACTCCTGTTTGGCTTGGAGAGCTGGGCTTCATAACTTTTGACTTCTTTTTTCCTGTCCCTTCCTTGTTCTTGTTGTCCTCCGAGCATTGTCTTTATCTTCATTTCCTGACAGTCACTCCCAAATTCTGCTAACCATTTTTTCCCCATTTTTGCCAGGACATTAAAATACCATTATTGCTGCATAAGTGCTTATGCTTTGAGATTAATGGGTAGTGGGAATTCAAGGATGAGTCACTGTTTCCAACAGTTTACGGAGTCGAGCAGATATCAAAGTTTATGTTTCCAAGGCTGTCATTGCAGCCAGGAGGGTTAGAAACGTACTTTCACTTGACAAACAAAATTAGAAGCTCAGATTGTGTACGATGCGCATTGCGTGTGCAAGGTACCTCGTGAAATTCTGGGTCTCCTTGACAGCGTGGTCTGTATTTAACTGCTTTGTGCAGAGCTGAAGCATATGGTGCATGCATGGGGTGGCATCTACATGGGATGGCATCTACATGTTCACTCTTCTGCTGGTTGTGATGTGATTTAAGTGTTCTGTGAGTTTTTGAGGAATGGATTAGTGCTAAATCTTCAAATATGTAAAATCGTGTAATGCTTTATGTTGGGCAGTCAGTGCTATGGATGCATCTCAGTTTTCACAGTGCCAGAGAGATGCATGGATTTTGTACCTTGACACTTTATTCCATCCTTGCTGTTTAGCTTGAGAAGATAAGCTTGGAAAATATGAGAACTGGCAGACTGTGGTGTGTCTGCCAGCTACAAAGCTACACCTGAATCCAAAGAAGAGACTTTTCATTTAGCCAGGCTGGGTAGGAACCGGTTGTAAATAGTTGAGAGGAGGCAGAAAACTTATCAGCAGTCTCAAACAGGGAGCCTCCCAGGTGTCCCTGAGCGCAGGCTGTGCTGCTCCCCCTGCTCAAGGAGGGGAATGTGGCATCTGGCAGGCATGTGGGTGTGACGTGGTGGTACCATATTCATGCCTAACCTGACCCAGAGGCTCTGCGCAGGCACGGATCTGTAGCTGACGCTGCGGTGAGCCAATCCAGAAAACTGAACAGACAGAAGGCTGCTTTTTGGCACGTTTAGCTTGGCAAGCTCGGTGCCCTCAGCTCGCTGGGGGCAAGGCAGTGTGGGGGCACAGGATGGAGGTGATGAAGGATGGACCTTCCTGACACTCGGTGTGCCTGGTATCAGGAAGCTGCCCCTCAGGTGATGGAGACCCCATCTCCGTGGCGCGGTGCATCAACAGCTCCTGCTCGCTGCGTTGTGCCAGCACAGCTGTTTGTGTGGCCTGTGCTGAACCAGATCACGGTCACGTTTTCCCTTCCCTGCTGCGTTATCTTCCAGGCTGATCAAAGCAGCACAGGGGCTCGCCTCGTGACTGCAGGACCATCTGTACCAACAACAGCCCTGCGGATGAAATGTGGGAAGGAGTGGAGGTGGTGGGAAGTGAGAGGAGAAAGTAGAGGCTATTTTGTTCCTGGGGATGGGAATACAATCTTGTACTTGACTGCCAGGATGTGTTACAGTAGCTCACTGCTGCTGTTTTGTACGTCTGTTGCGTGCAGAATTATTTCTGGTGCAAGGTAGTTATTGGCTGTCAAATTTCTCCCTTGGCAAGGCAAAGCAAAGCTTTTAATTAAGGAGGGCAGGGTCTGAATTTGATGCCTTTTAGAAACTGGCATGCTCAGCTAAACTGGCACACTCACTTGGCTGAATCTGCTTTTTCTCAGTTTTATTTTTTGGTTTAGAGATATCCAGAAATCAGGCTCATACCTGGTTTGGGACTATCCTTAAGCATAATCAAGACTTGAAAAATAATTAGGTGTAGAGCTTTCGAAGAGGCTGTGAGGAAAAAATTAATATGATGTTCCTCATTTCTCCAAAAATGCCACAAATAACCTCTTAGGTTTTGCTGGATAATGTGTGAAATGACATTTGGAAGTCGCTCCTGAGATCCTTCCTTCTTATATTCCTTTGGTTTCTGTGGAGATACAGCTCTGTTGCTTGCCTCTGTCCTCAGTTAGGTCAGTGGGGTCAGGTGAAAGATGTAATCCAGAACTTGGGGGGGAAAAAAATTCTATTTTTTTCTTTTTTTTAAGCCTGGATCCCATTTGTTGTAACAGTAAAAGAGAATGGGATAGGGAGCAGGGAGGATGAAGCGGTGCTTAAATTGATGCTGCTATTAAGAAAAATGATAATACATCACCCCTCTAATGCGGCTTTAGGGGATGAGGTTAGTTCTTTTGTCTTAGCTAAAGGGTAGTAAGGGAGATGAAGAAACTGAATATTTAATTTTCTTGAAGTACTAGTGAACACTAGCTCTCAGTTCCATGTGATGCAGAATTGTGTTAGTTTGCCTCTACTAAGCGTCCTTGCTCATCAGCCTGCTAGGTTAAAGAAGATTTGAGTTTATAATATGTTACAAAGGAGGCAAAAGAGGAATTAACTGCTCTTTTATGCTTCGCGTGTGGAAGTGGTTGAAGGTGCAGAGTGTTTATGTAAATGGCTAACCCCCTGCTCAGCATGTGAATGCTTCTCCTTAGAGTGTCCAGAACCTGCTGATACCTTCTCAGGGGTCAGGCTTGGGAGAAACTCTTTGTTGATCCCAGTGAGCTTAAAACTGCCTTGGGAAACACAGTTGTTAACTTTTCGATATTCATTTCTGGAGGT